TACATCAGCGCCCTTTTTCCATTAAATAAATTCATTAAATAAATTCAAACAATAATAATCTTTATGTAGCAAAACAAAAGATAAAACAGATGATTTATTTATTATAATAAAGCTGTGACTCTTTGTAATGTCACTAAGTTAAAGTCTGGCAACATCCAATTAGATTTTGCTACAAAAGGATAGAACATAAATATATAAATGACTTATTCTATTTTATCACAATTAGGCCTCTATTTGGCTTGCTTTTCTAAATTCTATTAGCCTTGACTTCATGCCTTTTTGGTCCAAATGTATTGTGGGGTAGTTTTGTTTAGAAAAAAAAATTAACCAATGTTTACCGAGTTTGTTTTCCCAGATTGTTAAAACAAATAAGAGTTTCCTTATTGACCTGTTTGATCAACCAATCGGATTAAAGATTCTGATCAGTGAGCGTTTACTTTGGGCCTAATTGTGTGCAGAGACTTGTGTGCATGGCTAATTACAAGAAAAGGCRTGGTTAAAGCTCCTTAAACAGGCAATAAAGAATAATTATCAAAAGCATTTTCTGGACGATCACTCGTTAAAAGAGTCAACTTTGTTTTAAAAAAAGCTGCTGAAGACCCCAACATTTTTTGCTTTTTTAAAAGCTGGTTGGTGGACAGTCGAGTACATTTACTTGAGTTCTGCACTGAGTATTTGTACTTAACTTGAGTAATTATTTTTTGCTTTAGACTCCACTACATTTCTAGGAAGCTTGTCGTTACTTGTTCCTATTTGCTCAGCATGGCTTTGTAATCAGCTGTAGCTGTTTCCTTTTCTTTCTTGAAATGCAATTGGCTACATGTTGTGTTCCTTAGACGGGGAACCAATCACAGACGTAGCTCACACCTGGGATGGATTTGGAATGACATCATCCTCGTTAACTGTCACCAGCTGAGGCTTGAGTTCCCGCCTTCATTTCAAACAGAACAGACAGTTGAAGAAAGTTAAGCAGAGAAACGAGCACCCATGGMCATATCTCAGCTCGATGTTTGAGATTTTAGGACWGAAAAATAAATTATCRGTTTAAATGTYTGTTCACTGCAGATAAACTACATTTCTGCATTTAACAACTCACCGCTCACTTTATTGCGTTTTTATGCTGAAGTCTTTACAGGAATTTGTAGCAGRGTTCTGCGTATACATCAGTCTGAAAACAATACAGCAAYGTAGCTACTGATATTAGACTTTTTAATGTGTACTTTTGAATSCTTAAGTATTTCCAAAAATAAGTACTTTAACTTGAGTAGATTTTTGACTGAGGAACTTTTACTTGTTGAGTAAGATTTGACCATGAGTATCAATACTTTTACTCAAGTACTAAAGTTGAGTACTTTGTCCACCACTGTGTTTAGCCATAGCTAGGAAAGGCTAGGCTAATGTTAGCTTTAAGGACAGCTGCAGAACAGCATCAACAACGGACCGCCACTGAAAACTTTTGGAGAAACAAGAATACATTTTATTTTGAAACATTCATCCAGAAGAACAGAGGGAAATAATTTTCAAGCAAACATCAATGGTGAGTTTTTATTTATTTATTTAATTATTTATTTATTGACTACTTGTGTCTGTCAATTTTAAATCTGAGGGCTTGTTGGTCATGTTGACCTAGATTATATACA